TGACAGAATAGGAGACGTCGAAGAAGACCTTATAAAGGAATACGGGTTTGTACCCCAAGTAGTCTTGGTAGCCTGGGTCACGACGAGTAGCAAATTCCAGGTCTTGCACGGATGCATTCTTGGGAACAGAAATGAGACGGGGCCTGGATGTGCTGTCGTGTGCAAGATAGACCACGTATTGATGATCGCTTGGAGTTGCAGCAGACATGGTGGATGAGAGACACTGCGTGTTGAGTGAGTGAGAGTGCAACCGTCACGCAGCATTGGTTGGGTTGCATTGTGTCACACATCACCAACGTACCTGTTGCATCAATTACTAGTACTGCCTTTTTCATAAGTATTGTCACATTTAGCTCAAAAATACAAAAAAAACCTATGTTTCAGTCAAAACTCAACCAAAAAGTGTGATCTAAGTTGCTAAATCCATAGTTTTAGAATTTCTTTTCATATACTAACAATAATGGTGAGAAATGAGTCCAAATTGAGTAAGATATAGTACAAAATGTGTATTTTCAGTAATTAGTATAATCTTAATGTCTGAATTTTCCTTGCCTCAAAACCAGACATATAGACTTGGTAGACTTATTATTATAGTTAGATATACTAATACTTAATTTACATACTCAATTTATTATAAATAAACTACTTATTCTGCTTTACTAAGGGGGCCGAATCACATACCGTTGCCACCAGTGCACATCGCCAATAAGTCATTAAGCTCGACTTCGATCTTGCCTACACAACTATCCTTCAAGAGTGATTTGTGTATAATCCGAATTCTGACATCAGCTTTCCTGTCTGTGGACGGTCTGTAGGTAACTAGTTAAACTGCATCTTGTAGTGAATAAATGATTCGCTTACAGTCCAAATGAAAGACGTTCATCCCAATAGGGTGATAAGCTCTTATTGACAGTCTTTGTTTGCCTACATTTATTGTTGATCTTAACCTGAACATAAAGGCTGGGCAGACTACTGTGGAGAGTTCGATGCCATTCCACTTCAGAGGCACGAACGACTGGAAGGTGCATCAGTATGACGCAGGAATAGGGCAGAAACAACAAAGGGATACAGACATGTCATGAAAATGTGGGTAGCTGTGGAAGTCGAGGCCATGGAAGGTGCTAAGAGCATTGTACAATAACTGCATTCAAGTTATGGATGACGAGGGATAGAAGTGTTGATTCTCCCAAAGCCTGATATTCGATCCTTTATCTTGCTTGTGTTGATTGATGTCTGCTTGACAAAGGCTCGGTAAGAAATGAAATGCGACGATGTGGAAAGTGAGCATGTTTGGAAATCTTCTTAATATAACAAAGGCGCACTGTCTGAAAGAAAGAAAAATGAAGCGTTCGTTCGAAACGGTTCCTTTTGAAGAAGGCTATCCTTGCTTACATAATACTTACTACCCGATCCTCGAACAACCTCAAAAGCAACGTTGTGTGCTTCCCCTCTACTCATTAATAAAACAGTTTTGTCTTTTTGGGCACAGAAGAGCTTCCCACATACTTATATTCAGTTCAAATTATTGTCTGGCAAGGTAGGGTGTAAAATATATATGCTCCATGTACTACACACAACTTCCAGAGTTTGATTGAAATCAATTTGTATATACTATATAGTAATTACAACTAATATATTATTTATAACAAACAATTAGCAAGGTTCCAGTGAGTAAAACTAGTGATGATAAGTTACTTTGACTAAGAAACAAGATTGTGTTATTACTAAGGTAGTTTAAAACACTCCTGCCACCTTTTGCCAATAGTAGCATTTGTAAAGTCTAACTTAGTTAAGAATGCACAACTAAGAACTGTAGTATTCTGAGGTTATTAAAGTATTGTCTGTAGATGAGGTAGAATCTACACAAATAACTCTCTATACTAATGTATCCACCTATCCTTATCTAATGTCTAGTCAGAGACAGGATCTATATTTGTTAGGAATTGTAAAATATAGTAACTAAGTTTGGAAAGCCTAACTCAAAACTTGGAACTAAGTAGTTTATATACAAAACTCTATTAGTTACAAGTCTAAAGATTAGTTAGATTAACTAGGCTACCTTTATTGTCCTACTTAGTAAGAACTTCAGCTTAGTATTATTAACCTCTAATTATTACTAATAGGTGATTAATCTATTAGTAGAGAGAGGGGACAGGAAGGAGTAAGTACTAAGTCAGTTAGGAAAAGGTAACAAAACCTGTAAACAAGGTCTTTATCTCTCTAAGGTTAAACATATACTCTAACACAGTATTACTTAATAACCTTAACTAAAGACAAGTCATTTAGAATGCTTATATAGAGAGGGGATCTAGAAAGAGTATAGTGTCTAAAGTAAGAAGTATAAAGGAAAAGACTAAAAGAAAACCTGAAGAGATAAAAGGAAAAATATTATACTTACTTAAGGAGAAACTATATAGTTAGTTAGAAACTCTTTATACAAAGACAAAGGACTATCAAAGCTAGTAAAGAGTTAGAGTCAATACTCTAAAACTTTATACTTAAGGAGGACTAGTACTAGTAAAAGAAAGGGAACTAAGAGTTTTAAGGAGAGACTATAAGAAAGTAGTCTCCTTTATACACTTTACTTATACAGATAGGAAAGTAATAAAGTTATAAACATAAGAACTATATGAGGACAACATGAGGAATATATGAGACAATTTAGAACTTTAGTTGTAAGTTTTATGATTAAATACAGAAGTATAAAGATAAGACTAAAAGTTAATAAGAATAATTGTCTCCTAAACTAAGTCTATTAAAGAAGACTTAGGGGAAGATTTAGAACATTAGTTGTCAGTTCTAGAGTGTATACAAAACAGTCTAGAACTTTGATTGTAAGTTCTAGGAGTAGTACAGAAGTACAGCCTTTTATATTACAAAAGTTATAAAGGAGTCATTAGAAGTTATAATACTCTACCTTATAAGAAAGTGTATTACAAACTAATATACAGGAAGTATAAGTTGAGTTAGACAGAGTTATAAGAACAATAGAAAGCTCTACTTTATAAGAAAAGTATTATACAGTTTACACAGTATAACTAGTTAGGAGGACTTATAAGGAGTTATTAGAAGTATGAGAGGAAGTATAGAAAACATAATAATATAGTAAAGGAGTTATTAGAAGATTGATCTAGAATACAAGAAGACACAAACTTGTGTTAGTAGATTAATAGAAGACACAAACTAGTGTAGTATACAGTCTAAAGAATTAGCTAGCTCTACTTTATAGGAACAATAGTAAAGAGAGTTACTAAAGTTACTAGAGTAACATTACTCTAGTAAAAGGTATATAAGGAGGCCAGTTTGGCTCTCAAAAGATAGTTTTATTAACTTAAGTTACTTAGTACTTGAAAGTACTCTACTACCAATCTACTAGGCTACACTTGTAGCTTGACTAAAGTAGGACTCCTTTACCCTCTTACTTTACAAGTCTACAAGTCTTACCCTCTATACTCTATTCTGTTACTATTCCTAAGGATTAGAACTAGTAAAGTAAGTATATTTTACAATATTGTAAACTAAGACAAGAGACAAGGAATCAAACATTAACTGCTGAGTAAGAAAAATGCTGGTCTTACCTTCTACATTCTACACTCTGGTTGTGTGATCCTGAGAGCCAGAGACAATGTGTTTTCCATCCAGCAAGAATGCAACTAACCAGATAAGTAATCTATAGCCTTCAAACAGTGTGAAAAGAGTCTGTTCACCTTCAACGTCCTAGACTAGGATTGTTGCGTCTTCAGAGCCAGAGACAATTTCGTCTCCGTAAGGCGAAAAAGCAACGGAAACAACCGACGACGCGTGTCCTTCAAAAGGCCTAGCCACAATCTCTCCACTCTCGACATCCCAGATCGAGATGATTGTGTCATCAGAACCAAAGGCAACACGCGTACTGTCGGGTGAGAAGGCTACTGACAGAACCCAACCTTCGTGTCTCCTCAACGGCCTGGAAATTACGTCGCCATTTTCAGCGTTCCAGATTATGATTGTGTTGTCGTAAGAGCCAGAAGCTTCCCATCAGGCGAGAAAGCAACAAACGTAACTGAGCTTTCAAGCCCTTTGAAAGGACCTGAAATCGTCTGCCCACTCTTGACATCCCAGATTCGGAGTGTTTCGTCACTGGATCCGGACGCAATGCGCTTCCCGTCAGGCGAGAAGCAGACAGACAAGACCCAATCTGTGTGCCCTTCGAAAGGCTCGGAAACTACCCTTCCACTTTCGGCGTCCCACACGGATCGTGTGATCGGCGGAGCCAGAAGCGACATGTCTTCCATCCGGCGAGAAGGCAACAGACCAGACCGTGCCTAAGTGCCCTTCAAGGGGACTTGAGACAGATCGTCCACTTTCAACGTCACAGAGTCGAATAGTTTTATCAGCAGAGCCAGAAGCGATGCGTCTTCCGTCGGGCGAGATAGCAACAGAAGTTATATCCTCTGCATGTCTTTCAAGACGCCCAGAACTGGCCTCATCGCTTTCGGCATCCCAGATGCGGATCGTGCAGTCGTCAGAGCCTGAGATGACGCGGGTTCCATCCGGGGAGAATGCAACAGACTCTGCAGAGCCAGTATGCCCTTCGAAAGGCGCAGAAACGACCTGCCCAGTTCCAACATCCCAGACTCGAACTGTCTTGTCAGCAGAACCAGAGACGACGCGTTTCCCGTCCGGTGAGAAAGCGACGGATTTTACTGCAGCAGTATGGCCTATGAAAGGGTCGGAAATACACTCCCCACCCTCGGCGTCCCATATTCGAATTGTGGCATCTCGGGAGCCCGAGGCGACACGTATATTGTCCCAAGAGTAAGCAACTGAAAAGACAATGTCTGTGTGGCCTTCGAGAGGACCACAAATGGACTGCCCGCTCACGAAGTCCCAAATTCGAATGGTCTTGTCACGGGAACCAGAGACGATGTGCCCTCCGTCAGGAGAGAAAGAAACAGAAGTCACAACGCCTACATGCCCTTCGAGATGCTTGACGGCTTGTCCGCTTTCAACGTGCCAGATCATGACAGTTTTGTCGCACGATCCAGAGACGACATGCGTCCCGTCCGGGGAGAAAGCAACGGAAAAAACAGTACCGATATGCCCTTCGAAAGGCTCAGAAATCACCCGTCCACTCTCGATGTCCCAGATCCTAACTGTCCCATCCCCGGATGCAGAAACAACGCGTTCGCCGCCAGGCGAGAAAGCGACAGACCATACATAGTCTTTGTGCCCTTCAAATGGACCGGAAATGACTTGCCCGCTTTCTGCGTCCCAAATTCGGATCGTCCCATCGCCGGAGCCAGAGGCAATACGAGTGCCGTCGGGCGAGAAAACAACGGACCTTACGGCGCCATAGTGCCCCGTAAGCTCCTTCAAGAACGGCGACCGCTGCTTCACACCTATTTGCTCTACTCGTACAGTTGGTAGATCACATTTCAAATGATGCATCAAAAATTTTGAGTCCATCGATGCGAATAAAAGGAAAGAAACGTATATATGTGGCGTCGATTGCGAAATAGCAGGCAAGTAAACAGTAATTAGTTTACGTGCATCTCTGAGGAAGGCTAACACGTCGGCGCTGTGTGACTGGTCGGGGAAGAACATAAGGTTCAGGTCCGGCAATACATCTACGTACTCACCGAGACCCAGTTCATGACACGAAAGAGCGCCGGGCTAGCAATCTCGACCTTCTCCAAGAGGCTCATCACCTCGAGCCAATATAGTAAACGTTCATCAAGGAAATCTGACAGCTCGTCCAACAATACGTCTAAGAATTGAGCCTCATGTAGGTGTTGACTCCAGAAGAGGCAGGCATATTCTAAGTGGGAGGAATATTTTCCTTGATGCGATCCGGAAGGTCAGGGATCTGATCGTTAAGGATGTATGACGACTCCTGATTACAGATGTTGAAGCGGAGTCCATTCTTCATGACACTGAAGCATTGCGTGGCGACTAAAGTCTTCTGAAACTCGAGATTGATGAACCAGTCGTCACGTTCGCGCCCTGGAGCCAACAAGTAGTCGCGGAAGGACGTATGGCAAAATCGGATAGGTTCTCCTGAAGTGTACGCAAGCACAGATCGCAATCGCGAAAGGACAAGACGTGAAGAATCTTCGTCCGAATATCCAAGTATCCCGTCAATTGCGTCGTCAGATAATGGAACTTTACAAAGAAGGATAAGACCAAGGACCTGGGAAAAGTGGGACCTGGATTCTTCGTCATCGAATGAAATGCCCGAGGTTTCGAGGACAGTACGGTACAAGGTGTCGAGAGCGGAGAGTAATTGCGACTTGGATACGAGGTGGTTTAGTCTCCGAGCAGGAAAGTCGCGATCCACCAGCTTGACCGCTGTCGATGCCCAGATGAAAAGTCCACCTGCTGCGTCTCCAAGACGTTCCATCTTCAATTGCCAATCGTGCACTGTCTCCAATTTACTTTTCGTAAATACCTTGCGCATCTCGTAATCAATATATCGGAGAACGTCGATCTTGCACATTACTGAATCGTGTTCCAATTCAACGGCACAAACGGACTCGGGCTGAGAAGATAGTGCTTGATCGATGTCCAGCTCCTTTCTACTTGTAATAAGGAATCGGAAGTTCTCGGGAAGAGTAGGAAGTCCTTCTCGGAACAGTTCGAGCAAGCGCCTTCGGCCGCTGTCTGTTCCACACTCATCCAATGCGTCGAGGACAATGACGGTGACTGGTCCCTGCAGAGCCTCCCCGACCCGATCAAGAGGAATTTTAATGAGTTTCTCGGACTGAGTCGTTCCAGAAGCTAGTGCAATATCACTATCCTGCACAATGGCCTCAATGACGTGTTCGGCAATCGAAGAATCGAATAAGGCGAGCTTGTAAGCGAGTGTGCGAATGACCGCACTGGGCTCACTCTTTCCTCGTTGGAAGAAAAGATGAGCCCCAAGGCGAGATATAGCACTAAAGTGTTCCGCAATCGTCGTGCTAATTGTGCTCTTGCCAGATCTCGCAACGCCATCCAACCAGAACACGTTCTGATTTGAACCCGATGACACCCATTCAACAATCTCATCCATAATGTTTCTGCGCGTTCCGGGAAGGCACTGTGGTCGATCAAATGCGCTCATCCTCTCCGGTTGAAGTCGGTCCAGGACTAGATTACTGAATTCAATAGTAGTTAAAAGTGGCGCCGATAGTATTACGCACATGAGATATCGAACTTAGAAGACAATTCATTGACCTTTGAGGTCAAGGCATCGACGTTGAAAGAGATCCTCGAAGAAACGAAACCAACTTGGACAAGGATTCCAGAGTCTATCGAGGACTTGGACGCTTGAAATGCTTTGAGAAATTTATCGATCGTCCCTTCTGCTTTTTGCATGAACACTCGTCCTGATATACAATGAGTCGACAACAGTCAAGGTATTAGAGCATAGACAGACTTAATATATTGCGACTTGTGTACTCTTGAATGAAGAGGCAAAACTCTTCAGTCTGCTTCAAGAGCTGAATAACTGTCGTCTGGAGCCTGTCTGTCCTGTCGTGAAGAATGTCATTTTTTTCGACAAAGTCGAATGCGTCTATCATGGCGTGCACAAGTTCGACAACCTTTTTGTCAACCTCAAACTGATGCCTGAGTCCCTGTAGAAATCATCAAGCAATGTTACGTCCTGGGCTATGGCACATACTTTGTATAGTGTAGAAGCCAGATGTCATGCGAACTTGGCACATGGGCGAATCTGACATCTTTTAGTAAGCACTGCGTTGCGATGATCAAAGACAAGCAGACACTTACTTGTGATAATTTGTCCACAACACGAACGAACACATCTAGCGTCGAGACGAGGCTTCCCACGGACTCGTATAGATCGGCATGCTTTGCAAAATGGTCAGTGGTAGCATCAGCTACTCCAACTGCAATCGAATCGGTAGCGTGTGCTGAGGTTGCGAAGCCACCCCTTTGGATCGCTTGCTCTGCTGCATCAACTCTACGTCTAGCACTTGCCATCGCGTCAAGGGCCTCTAAGCGTACACGAAGGGCGGCAGTTTTCGTAGACGATAAACCATGGGGCGCATTGAGGTAGAGCTCCGTTTCTAGCGAGGTTGATTACTGTTTCGGCATGCTGATAATGACCCGGTTCACGCACCCTTGCCATTGGAACATCTCTTTAATAACTCATCGAGCTCTATTTCAATTTTGCCTACACATTCTTTTCTATATGATGAGTCATGCTTGATCTGAATGGCGAATGCTATCCTTTGGTCCACGAAAGATCTACACATGCAAATAAGAAAGACACTTCTGTTCACCTTAAACACATTGCTAACCGTTTGAATAAAAAGCCTTCATTCCATTTCGGTGCAATATTTTCTTTACAAGTCTTGGTCCACCTCTTATCGTTGAGGAACTTGATCTGGACATATAGATTTGGTGGACGAGTTGAATCCCATTTTATGTTGGAGACACTGATCACTGCCAAGCATATCAGCATGTGTACGCGATCATGGCTTGAATAAAGAGCAAACCTGTCAAGGCCACGTCAGCACCTGTGGAGGTGGAGGTCATGGTTGGGGGTGTCTTCAGTTTATTGATGTCCTTCTGGATTTAAATAGGTTTTGCAGCTTCTCACAGGTGGATATAAAGGGAGCTTTGGCCATGAGTTCCCCGCGTGCCTGTTGTCCTATTCCTTTCGTGTTGCTTTCATCAAATGGAAGGTTGATTGACGCTCATTTACCAATGAATATTAAAATCGGGTGAGAGGAAACAATATCAGGAAAGTCCATAGAACCTGTAGTAATGGGTCAAGGCGCTCCGCCGCATAAAAAAGGCTGGTTTTGAACATAGATGCCAGATATTTGATTTGATCCGTCAATAAGACTGCATCCTTGTACAGTACTTGACCCGTGAGCTAGCCAAGCATTACTAAATGCACAGACTACTCGTAAGTGTGCTAAGGAGTTAGCTTGAGGACAAAGAGCATTAACGTAATCGACGATTAATCGTAGTGTGCAGCATGTCTGACTATCATCAGCGAGAGAGTACACGAGGAGATGAACGTGATCGTGAAATTTAAAACCTGAAAGACCAGCTTCTGATTACAAATAATAGTTACATCAGCATGACCGTTTCGATTCATGGACTTCAAGAATCAACGACTTCGAGTTATGCCACCAACATCTTTGCTGTTTCTCCTATTATTTACTTCTCTTTCCTTTCTTTGTAGTAATGCAGCAAAGGAAAGCTTCAATGAGACTTTGACCGTGCGGCCTCTTCGAGATGGACGCGTCGCAGCCCGGTTCTTGTTCACCATTACCCAGGCTACCTCAGTTCCTCGAGAACCCACAACACTCTTAGATGAAGATACTCGTTAGTTATTCATATCTCTGTGGAACTGGATTGTTCTGAGTAGAGCAACATTCTTTTTTTAGCGCAGCATTACTCGCTTCTCCCGCTGTCTTTGGGTCAAGTACTTCGAGAGTATGCCGTGACAGAAGCACATCTAAGCCTGAATGCTGGAAAATGGGACTATGGCAGATGGGGTGATCCGGAAGATGAAGCAGTTGCGAGCGGCGCAGAGTTATGGGCATGGATGGGTGACTCTGACCAGATGAGGTGTGTTGGCGAATCACCTGGAGATGTGCAATTGTCTGACGTGGAGAATCAGCGTAGAGGATCGGTGGAAAGGCCTCCGCAATGCGTTCTCTGGACTGTTCTGTGCCTCAATGGGATCTTTAGATGACTTGCGAACAACATCTCCTAGTTATGCCTTTCGGCCAGATGGCGACCTTCCAAAACTCTCCTCGAACCAAACACACAAACTCCGATATGCATCACTACCTTCTGAGAACGTTTGCACGGAGAACTTAACACCTTTCCTCAAGTTACTTCCATGCAAGTCTTCTGCGGGAATCGCATCTCTACTCAATCCGCATCGATTGTTCGATGCAGACTGGCATGGAATGAGCATCCATGTATCATGGAGCAAACAGGAAGGCGTCAAGCTCCAGATGAGTGTCCAATCTGTATTTGATCCTGTTCGTCTATCTAGTCAACAAAAGCGAGGTAAATATATTTGCTGATTCTCCGTGGACATTCGTTAAGTCTTCTTTTGATAGATTTCTCGTTCCAATCGTTGTTCCATCGTTCCATATCGGAGGCATGTCCTGTTGCGACGGAAAGTAAGGTCGAAATGACTTTACCTGAAGATGCCGGGTATTTGATCACACCAGAGCCGCTTATTGTGCGAGAAAACATTGCCTTCTACAATATTGCAAAAGGTCTGTACTGCTTCATTCATATTGATGATATCTAACTTGTGACCTCAGTCCATGCCTTACCGCTGGACGTTTCCATCCGATACCCAACGGAAAACGCATTTTCATACCGTAAGATGATAGCGTGTAATTTGTTTCACTTTCTGATAAAAGCAGCATTAGGAACGTCCGTGGCTCCTTTGTCTGATATTCTTCTGACAAGGACGTTGAGTGGAACAAGTCAAACACGAGGGCGATTAGCTGTCTCAATTTGGAACAATCGTCCTCATGACCTGCGATTGCTTTACGTTGAGACAATGCCGTGGCTAGTTACGTTCTATCTTCACACGCTTGACCTGACAGTCGACGGCCAGAAGCGAGGTTTGTGTATGTCCTTTCACTGTCGTGGCCAGAGTACTGACTGCGCAAACTGCAGAGGATCTGATGTCGCTTTTATCGTATACGCCACCTGAGGCCCATGGACGACCTACACTCCTTGAAGCACAGCTGACCGTTCCTGCAGAATCAAAAGTCGAGTTGTCGATGGACGTGACGAAATCGTTCTTGCGATATACAGAGCACCCTCCAGATGCCCAGCGTGGATGGGACCTGCCGCCAGCTATATTTATAGTAGGCAGGAACGACTCGTCAAAGCAAAGTCGACGAATATATAGCCCAGCAGTACTCGTCGACGTCGCAACTCCGGACTTCAGTATGCCGTACAACGTGATTATTATGAGTAGTACCTTGATTGCGCTCATATTTGGGAGTATCTTCAACCTCCTTACGCGTCGATTTGTCGCCATCGTCGTTGAGGACAATGGAAACGCAGGTAGTAATAGACAGGTTAACTAATTCTGACCACCTATAGAACTTCATATTTGTTATTTATGCTTACTGTGCTTTCGCGTCCACATCGAGGATGTGTGTACTGTGAGTGAAAACTACTAGTTATGCCCTGCTACAGAAGTACCTGATTTTGATTGAATTGTTTGCACGCATAGTCTAACATACAATATCCAACGGCTGTCAAAACACATAATTGCTCTACACGTGAATCTAACAAGGAGGCAAGGAGGCAAGCATTAAGCGAAGGGATATGGATCCACGTTCTTTTTCGCTTGTACTAAATCCACGAAATACGTCAGCAGCATGCATAGATTGATAGCATGAAACCATAACTCACACTGCCCAATGCCAGAATGGAAGTGCTCATGCTGGATTAAGTTTGCTCCCATGCCAAGTGCAGTCATACCTGCCTCAACGCAAACTGCCTTCAATTGCGCACCATTGAAATAGGCTGTGCTCCGTGCAAGTTCTTCGAAATTGACGTCGTCCTTTAGTGTCATGTTTTTGGAATGGATTCTGAGGATTCTTGCTCGCGCTGATGCGTTTGGAAGAGGGAACTCGATTTTCCGGTCGAGGCGACCTGAACGAAGGAGTGCAGGATCAAGGATATCGATTCGGTTCGTGGCGGCAATAACCTATGTGACTAACATAGGGAAAGGAAACTAAAATTGGCAGGTTATGAAGACTCACCTTAATACGATCATCACTGCTAAACCCATCTAACTGATTAAGCAACTCCAACGTCGTACGTTGCACTTCCCGATTGCCGCACGTCTCCGAACAAAATCGCTTCGTCCCAATAGCGTCTAATTCGTCGATAAATATAATTGCAGGAGCTTTCTCCTTCGCAAGTTCGAACGTGTCTCGTACGAGTTTCGCGCCGTCGCCAGTGTACATTTGCACAAGTGAAGGACCAGCGAGTTTTAGGAAGCATGCTTTGGTCTGTGCAGCACATGCGCGCGCCAAAAGTGTCTTTCCAGTTCCTGGCGAGCCGTACATGAGCACACCCTTCGGCGGCCTGATTCCAAGTGTCTTGAACTTATCGGCGCGCCGTAGCGGAAGTAAAATTGCTTCGTCAAGTTCTTGGATTTGCTTCTCGAGCCCTCCCATGTTCTCGTAGGTGTCTGTCGGTCGTTCGATGACTTCCATGGCTTTCACGCGTGTGTCGAATTCTGGAGGTAAGGTATCGAGAATTATATAGGAGTCTTTGTTGACGCCGATAAGGTCTCCTGGTTTGAGGTCTTCTGCACGAACCAAGCCGACTAATGGAAGGAACACTGTCTTTCTTGTTGAGGTCTTGATGACTGCGCATTTTCGATTGCACGATAAACTGAGATCTCGGTGTGCAAGGTCTTTGTCTCCTTCAGGGTCCGCATCGAGGATCTGCGTCTCCAGATGAGCAACGGGTTCGTCAAAGGACTTGAGTCGCATACCTCTACAACGTTACCAACGAGGTATGGCAGGACTTTACTCTGCTTAATCTTCGCGTTGTTACTTCTAATCTTCTCCTTCATCACATTCTGCTCGTGTTGCAATCGTATTTTCTCTGATCGCATTGCCTATCTGCCATGTGAGTTTTCTATACTCGAATGTTGTCAGTTATAGGAGTACATGCCTTTATCTGGTTTTCGATGGCGCGGGTTCGCAAGATTATGTCGTCTGTGCTAAGAACCATAATCTCTTCTGGGATGTCATCCCACTTTTCTTCTATAGTGCCATTATTAGAGGTATTCTCCACAACGACCGTGATTGTGAGCTTGTTGGATGTCACCTCTTGCAGGGTGGACATGCTAGGTATAAAGCACAGGAGGTAGGGGTGAAGGAGTGTTGAGAGCCAGCACAGAATGCTGTCAGAGGCACCATCTTAACGTTGAGGTTCCTATGTATCGTCCTAGCCGTGGCTATGAATGTGATACTCAGAGTGTGCTCAACATGAGTGTCGATAGATTATCTCCTGCTAGTACACACTTTGAGGGGCACAGCTACAATGTGATTTCGGGTTTTACTATAATCAGGATTTGCCTAAAAAGTGACTATTGAAAGTAAGCACTGCATCATGATATATATTATATATATCAATAGAAGTAGTAGAAATGTGAAGGTGCTTTGAAGTACTGTTCATTAATTAGGGACTGGAAGACACAGGTTTAAACTTTACTGTGAATGGGCTCTGATCACAAATATGGACTTCATTCTTGTACATGTAAGCAAAGTTAATAGATAAAATATTTCTCTGCTTGTTATCTTATCCAAATTGGCTATATTCAGATTCTAAAAACAATAAAGAAAATAAAGCTAGTATACTGGTAATTAATCTTATTAAGAGTAGAGCAGTGTACAAAAGTAATTTCACAGTATTTAAATTGTGCCAGAGTTTGTATAAAGAAACTTTTGGCTTCTGTTAAAGAAGGGGTCCTTACTATTAACCGGTTGAATTGCCTTTCTGGTTGTTTTCTTTTATCAGGGGCGGCAATAGGAATATGAAAATGATAAGAGAAGGGGCTGAATAGACGGGGAAGAGATATAACGGAGATAGGGAAGGATAAAGTGAACTGAATTGATGAGTAATTGGTTGCTATGAAGGACATTGGGTGACACGTGCCTTATTGAATGAGCGTTGATTGGAGTTAGCGTGTATCCGAGGCCGACGGCGGGACATTAGGATAGAGAAAATAAAAATATAACGTGTCCGAGCCTTCGAGATCTACATTTGTCTGCTGCACCGCTTCCATTCGTCCAAATAACGGTTGTCCGCTAACGGGAGAAGATGCGTACATACAATTTAAGCTGCAAGTGTACCACTATGAATCGGCGAGGTCGGGAGTCGGAGCAAAGCATGCGAAACCCGATTCTGTCGGCTATCGAACGGACGGACGGCTGAAACGTATCTGCAAACATATCTACACGACATATTTCTCTGGAACGCAGAGCACACGCAAGCACTCTTGGAATGGGAGAGAAACGTGTCTGCCCTCGAAACGTAGGGGTGCATTTGCGGTAATTTAAATGACATACTTGGCATGTTATCGGTAACAAATTGAGTGACGTCTGACACTCCCGATTCCCGGCGAGTAAATTACTCTATCATCAAGTGCTGGCCCTCTTTCTTACGTTACTTCAACGCATCCCATCAGTCGTCTCTCTTGCTTTTTGCCCTCTTGCTGTCTCTCTGACTCTCTGGTTTTCTCTTATATCTGCTTTTTTCTTCCTTTTTTATAACTTGGCTCGAGATCCATGTCTATTGGCAATGTTCGAAACGGTGTCGACCTCACTCCCAACAGCAGTGGCAATGGCACTGCTGGCACTGAAAAGATAAACATGTATGCCGGACGTACAGCAGCCACCTGCCTCGACATCATCATCATCGGCGGCGGAATCGGCGGACTCGCAGCTGCACTTTGTCTCGCACACGCAGGCCACAACATCACAATCTTCGAAGCAGCGCGTAAACTCCGCGAAGTCGGTGCGGGGTTACAAGTCTCTCCTAACGTCACGCGGCTCCTTCACCGCTGGGGTATGTCTGACCGGTTAAGTGCATGTGCGTCGGAGCCGGAGGCGTTGGTGTTTAGGCGGTATAAGGATGGTGAGGTCGTTGGGCGGACGAAGTGGGGGAAGAATGTGAGGGAGGAGTTTGGAGCGCCGTATTATCATATGCACCGTGCGGACTTGCATCGGATATTACTTCAACGATTGAGGGAGTGTACGAATGTTACTTTCCGACTTAACTCACGCGTACAGTCTCTTGACCCGCATCCGGACGCACGAGGGAAAGTTGCAATCTCGCTTGTTAATGGGGATATTTTCGAGTCGGATTTGATTGTGGGTGCGGATGGGGTGCATAGCTTGTCGAGGCAGATTGTGTGTGGACGAGTAGATTTGGCGCAGAAAACGGGCGATGCTGCATATAGGGCTGTCATACCTGCAGAATTCTTGCTGGAAGACGAGGACTTGAGGAGTCTTATGGAGACGCCGGAGCTTACGACTTGGATGGGACCGGGGAGACATATCATGGGATACTGCATAGTGCGTTTTCCCTCCCGTTCAATATTATTTTGTGTTAATAGTTCTCATCAATTGTAGAGAGCACAAAAAGAATACAACCTAGTAATGCTCCATCCAGACCACGGTGCCGAAGAATCTTATACAGCCGAAGGGAACGCAGACCGTATGCGTGAAGACTTTGCAGACTTCGAGATTCGGTACGATCCACGCATACAAATACCAAAAAAAAAACAGATATTAATTTTCACAAAAAATACCGCATATAGTGTCCGAAAACTCCTCAAACTAATTGACCGAACACTAATCTGGCGCATCGACGAACGCCAACCTCTCAAATCCTGGGTCCACTCATCAGGTCGCCTCGTCCTCCTCGGCGACGCATGTCATCCAATGTTACCTTACCGCGCTCAAGGAGCAGCAATGGCTATCGAAGACGCTGCCGTCCTCGGTAACCTACTCTCTCACCTCGGTCCGCCCAGTATTGCTACGAGACATCTTTTAATGTTGTTGAAGCAGTATGAGAGGTTGAGGATGGAGAGAACGAGGATGACGCAGGAGACGAGTACGTTGAATAGGTATATTTTTCATTTACCAGATGGGCCTGAGCAGAGTGCGAGGGATGCGAGTATGAGGAGGGCGATGAAGGCTGAGGAGGTTGAGGAGGCTGCTTCTTCTTCTTCCCATTTTGATACTACCAACGCTGCCGATTCGAATGAATCCGCTACTACTGGATCGGAAACGAAAAGCACGGGAAGTGGAACTCATCACCACAGAGCACGAAACACGGAGAACGCAAACCAATGGGCAGACCGAAAAAAGAATCGAGAACAGTACGGGTACGACGCTGATTTGGAAGTCGAGCAGTGGTGGACTTCTGAAGGAAAGATGCGATTACAGAAGTTGATACTCAGTCATGAAGGAGTGAGTACGAGGTCAGAGGATTCGGCGACGCTCTCTAGTTCGAATTCCGGTTCACAGAAGAGTGGGAAGAGAGGATTTTGGAGGAGGTTACCGTTTATGGGGATGGGGTCCGGGAAGAAGGTGTTTGAGGAGGTTCGTGCATAAGTGTAACGGTAGAAGTCCAAAAGTGTATGTATTATATATCCACATATCCGCATTATTTTTGGTTTTTATTTGATTCTAATTATTTTTATTGTATTCTAACCACTTCTACTGAGCTCGTTGGTTTTTTTTTCTGTGCTCGTATCATTTACACTTTTGTTCTTGTTTATTACAACTTGTTATTCATTCACAACTTTACACTTTCTCAATTATTGGTTGTGTTTTTCCACAAACCAAGAAAGGACCTCCTAATGCTGATTACGTAATACTTTCCGGACAGGCAGAGCTAGTGTACAAGAGTTACCCACTCAGTGGGTACAGTTGAAGATACCTTATTACATCACATTATAATGCATAAATTGAATATTGCATAGCTTTCTGCCTAATCCCAGCTCAGGATAAGGGAATTATGCACAAAAATAGTCTATTGCATATTGTATCAAGATTTGTGAGAAAATTATGCAAAATTCTGAGCATTTTTGGAAATTAGACTGCTTACTGTTGTGATTTTTGTACCCAGAAGCCTCACATATTGTTCTCTGATGTACTTTAATACAAAAAGAATGTTTCTGATTGACATTTCATTACTTACAATGTCTTCAATGCTGCCACAAGACCAAGATAGGGTAGCAAAGATCTCTTCATGATATGTGGGGGAAAGTTATTTGTATTGACTAGCTTTTTCTATCTTTTTGTTTCTACAGATTCTGACTGTATTTCCTTGTATTACAAACTATTTCTTGAGTTTTACAGTAATATACACATTTACTGTACTTGTCATTGTCTTAGTTGTCTTTCTTGATACTCTAGATATGTGCTTATTTTCTTGTCATAGTGTATATGTCTTCAAATAAGTTGAAAAGTAATATCGAATTTGGGTTCCTACTTAAGTAATGTTTTCGCACGGTTACCATAATGCATATTGCTCATATTGTATAGGTCTGAGGCCTCTCCCAACATTATGCAATAAGATATTTTCAACTGTAACTCAGTAGTTAACCATAGTAGATAACTACTTTCTACTATAGGTTGGTCAAAAAAGGGGTGTGGTAAACTAAGATAATTAGTAATCCATGAGAGGTTTATTAATATAATTTTACTTTATTTCTTCCTCTTTTTTTGTGGTTACCTTAGTTTACATGATTTTCAACTCTAATATGTATAGAAAACAAAGCAATACATTTGATTTAAACATTATAATTACAATTTTTTTGAGATGAGCTGACTAAAGTTATACTTGTAACACAAATTTCCTTTTTTGTATCATTACACATCTTAGTAATTCTCACTTTCTACCAGTGGTTAACTACTCCTACAGAGGCTCTAGAAAAATACCTAGTAGGAAACTAGTTCCTACAGTAGTCTAAGGAGTTTCTGTTACAGTTCTCTACTCTTGTACCTTCAGTTCTGAGGGTTCTGCACCCTTCTGTACTAGAACTTAGGACTTCTGTCCCTTAGGGGTGCTGTCTATAGACTATATACATACTGACTCTTACTACTACCCTTCCTTACTTTATCATTCTATTCCTTTAACTACTCCTTCATTCTTTGTTCATTCTATAGTCTCTTACCCTTTGTCCATCCCTTTATTCTTTGTACCTTTATCTTTGACCTTCCTTTCTTTCATCCTTTATAGCTTATTATTCTTAGTGGCTCATACTCTCTGAGTACTCTTGTGTAGTTTAGTATATATAAGTATATAAGATCAGACTAGTCCTGTAGTCTGGATCTTGTCTACTCTAGGTAGTCCTGTACTCTCAGGCTTACTCTATATACTTTACCTTGTCTCACTCTCTCTCTTTGCCTGTTCTGTAAGTTCTGACTATGTTCTAGTACTTGTATTCTGTATTTCTGTTGTGTAGGATAGTTATAGTCTGAGTCCCCTTACTGAGCCTTTGGGTCCCCTCTATACTGTTACTAACATTAGATCCAGACTCCCTATTACCACCCTACAACTCTCCTATGTTTTAAGCATCAGTACTTACTATTGTGTTGATCTCTTCTCTTTGTCCTAACCCTTTTACATTTTTAAATTTTAAACTTTCTAAACCCTTTTAAACTTTTGCCACCCTTCTTCTATTTATTACCCCTTTTAGTTTAGTACTGATTCCTTTATAGTATAAACATAAACCCTTCTATACTGACTGCCACCCCTACTGTCCTGCCAGATCAGTAGTTACAAGCAGATCTAGCTTAATACAT